GCTATTGACACAAATTCAAAGAGGGCATATACAGTAAAAAAAGGCATTTCTTCACAGCGCTCAATTACACCACAGCTGGGTGCGCAGCACAGGCCTAGTCATTTGAGCAGCCGTAGTCATAGCTCCGGAGGGAGGGTTAGTGGGGCTTCCAGGTTGGCCGTGACCGCAGGCGGGATGCCAGGACTTAGGTCCGGAGATCCCTGGGAGCTACGAGGGGGTGAGTACAGAACAGTGCAATCTGCCCAGGAATTCTCCTTCTTGTGCTAGGTCCTCCAACAAGTACCCCCGAGGAGGCGTCCAGCACCAGAGGGTTTCCCCGGTTGGAGTGCAGAGTTTGATCATTTCTCTGTCCGTTTCCATGGGTCCTCAAGGAGAAGCCCCCGGACCTTCACAGGTGGAGGGCTTGGTCGGTGAGTCTACAAATGCACGTTCTCTTTGCTTACTTTCCTCTTTACAACACCTTATTGACTCTTGAGGACAAGTGGGTACTCATAAGTCAGATGCAGGTCTGGATGCCGGAAGCTACGGCATGGGAGGGTGCCGGGTCGGTGGCACCGGGCATGGTAGGACGGTAGCTGAGGGTGCCAAAGGGGGGGCTCTGGTCTCAGTGGGGATGGTAGCTGAGGGTGACAGAGCAGCGGCGTCGGTCGACGCTGTGAGCAAACGGGCAGAGCTGGCGGGCGGCATTCCTGACACAACGCGGCAGAATGCTTACGTCTCGTTTGCTGGCCCCCTGGGCGTGCACCTTAAACAAGACATTAAGGAGCAAATATGAACGGGTGAGTTCGTGGAGGGTTTTTCCCTGCTGCCTCTGGAGGACTATATTGACCTCAAGGAGCAGGACAAAATAGATGCAAAGGAGGAGGAGGAGAAGAAGAAAAAAAGGTATCGCAAGATACCAAAGTCCTTTGGGAATTGGCTGCGGGCAATTTGTATCTGTTATGCTACTTGGGTTATTTGGATTGGAACTCAACTGCAGCTTGTAGAACTCCTTAATTACAATAGTGAAGAAACGAAGAATCTTTAAAGTATCAATACTGTAGCTTTAAGAAAAGAGAGGATTGCTGGCAATTTGAGAATCAAACAAAGTTTCAATGATTGTTAAACTTAACTGAATTGCATATAGGCAATAATCCAATAAGAAGAAAGTGCAGGTTATCAAACGATACAAAGTTCATTAATAAGTATTTCCTCAGAGAAGGTTTTAATAAGATTCTTTAGTTTGCTGGGAATAATCTTCAATAGAAACATTAAGCAGGTAGCAGAGAGTGTTTGCAAAGCAAGAAACAGTTCATAGTTAATACGCATGATGGGAGTTGTCCTCCATATAATTAGTAACTTGAAGCAGAGAAGATTTAACCCCTTAAAGACCAAACTTCTGGAATAAAAGGGAATCATGACATGTCACACATGTCATGTGTCCTTAAGGGGTAAAGCAGGCAGGAATTGGTTCCAAGAAACAGTTCATAGTTAATACGCATGATGGGAGTTGTCCTCCATATAATTAATAACTTGAAGCAGAGAAGATTTGAGCAAGCAGGAATTGGTTCATTAATAAATGATATTGTAGACAATAGTTGAAAGATATACTTAAGGTTAAGGTGAGTTGTCCTCCAAGAGTTCAGAGTTATTGTCCACTTGTAAATTAGGAAAGTATCCGTTCTCCAGTAATCCTCTATGGCTTGCAGCAATCCTTGCATTAGCTCAAGGCTGGAACGGCTTGTCAGAGCTTGTGGAGCCGGCGTGTATACCCGGAAGTAGGTCCCACAATCACCAAGCGCCTTCTCCCTGGCGCGGTCT